CAAAATTACTTATTAATAAGTTGTTAATACAAGTATCATCGCGCGTAAATAATTGGACACTTGGTGCGATTCTGTTAAGAACATGATATTTTTGTTAAGTTTCGATAATTATCATTGACGAACATTTTCAAATTTCATACGGGATGTTGTAAAATTTCCTTGATTACGTAATTAATAATTGTTACTGTGACAGAGGAGTTATGTGATTGCCTGCAATCCACTTTATCATAAAGAATATATCCTTTCTTTCCTTTTTTTTAGCAAACAAATATACCAATTTTATATTCAATATTATATTTGCGTAAAAAGATGTAGCATTAGAGTAATACTGTGTATAATTCTGTGAATTATATTTAAAAATACTTCTCAGCAATTAGTACGAATTTAATTCCAATTAAAACTAACACGCTGAAAATTAGAAATCATTTAATTAAACTGTGCTCATAATATTAACAAATTATTGGGATAGCTGATGTAATAACCACATGAAATCTACAAAGCATCAAGAGCATAGATATTCTACTAAATATATGATTTAGTAATTTCCAATTGGAGACACATTGATTTGACATATCTAATTTCTATTACATAATTTATTTGATGAAACGAACTTGATCATTTCCTCATTTATATTATTTTAATATATACAATACCACACATATCTCAATATCAAATCACAAATATTATCTATACTTTTATCTATAATATTTTAATAGTTTTGTTCGACATACACAAACACATACGTATTTTTACGTACAATTTAATTTAGATACAATTTAGATACAATTTAATTTAGTTTGAATCGCACACAATTTAATTTAGTTGCTTTGAAATATAGAAACGAAAGGACATATTTTTCTTCCTCAATTGGAGATGGTACGTCTATTTGAAATTTATTGATTGAATAAATACGACAATATTTTTCTGAGAATCAGATATTCATCGACTACTACAATCTCTTTTATATCGCGAATATCCGACGTGTTCGATTCCGTTGTGTTCAATTTCAATGGTAGCCTCCGAAAATGGAGAAAGTTTAAATATCCAAGTACTAAGCGTTTTGCAATTGTTCGACTCTAAAATTCGCTAGCGATTGGAAAACTAAAACCATTTGCTTCAAACTTCTCAGCCATGATACAGACGAGCGTGCGTGCCATTTTTAGCGAACGGTTTCTTCCATAAAATAAAACGACAGGACAGTGTCGTAATTGTTAAGCGAGAGGATAATGATGATTGCTAGTGATAATTGATTCAGACTGTTACAGAAATAATTAATCGGTTTCCTTGTTATTGTTCAAAGATATAAAAAAGTGAAACGAATAAAATCGTACACAAATTTACAAATACCTCAGATTCTACGTGAAAAATGTATCAAAAGTAAAGAAAGAAATTTTTTTATTCAAGTCATCATTTTCGAAGAAGTCGAGAAAATTTATATAGTACGTTTGAATTTCGTCAATTTTGGGTTGTCTAGGAATGACTAATCGATACGAAATAACTATAAAATAAAATTTTGATACTTCATTTTCAAGAAAACAGCTTGAATACGTTCGATTAAAAATTCATTTGGTAAACGTATGCTTGGAACATAAAATTTTAAATTGAGTTTTGCAAAAAAAAAAAAGAAAGAAGAAAACGAAGGATCCTTTGAAAAAATTGCATTTCACACTTCCGGCTTATTTTCACAGAATAAGAATAATTTCCCGTTCATTATTTATTCCCGAGCAGTTCAGAGAATTAGCTGAAGATTCTCATCACGTGATTCTTTTGAAAACGAAGTCTCAAGCGAGAGAAATTTATTCTTCGTTTCTTTCGATTTAGTTTTGGTGCCTCGATACCGAGACGCCTCGTGTACGTGCGCTCTAAATTTCCGGCCGGGAGTGTCCTCCACACGCTCGCAATAATTTGGAAATAAGAGTGCAAGTACCTACTTACGGGCGATAGTCGCGAATAAAAGCTAACGTCAACAACGTTACCCCACCCCTGTTTCCGTTCCTCCAGCTCTTACCCCGAGCTCTGAACACCGCGATCTTCGAATGCTCTCCTTCAAACAGGAAGAAAGTTTCGGTATGAAAACGCTTCCGCAGTCGAGCGAAATATTCGCGACGCGGGTGGGAAGGAGAGAAGGAGGGCAAACTTGCAACCCGTAGTTTAATTCCTTTCGATTTTCCCCGACCCGCTTTTAAATTCGGCTGCGTTCGTCTTATCTATCGTTCTCTTCCTTTTTCTTTTTTCATCCCCTTCGTTTCTTGCCCCTCCCCCACCCAGTGGCTCAACGAAAGGAGGAATTCCTTTTTTTTTTTCTTTTTTTTTCGAATTCCGCGAGTGGCAAGTATCGCTTCGCTGCAGCGCGAGCGGATCTTTCCCAGGGGCGAAAGACAAACACACTTTGCGATCCATTTGTTCTACAGCCCGGGCATTCCGGCGTGTACGCTGCAATCTGAACCTCGGAGCTGCGGATGATGAACGGCCGTACGAAGAGAGACACATTGCCATCACGATAGAATGCTCAACGGAAATTGAAATTTTGACGGGGGCGTAGGCGCGCGGCAGAAAGGACCGGACCGCTGGTGGTACAGACGCCGAGCTGAGCGCATACGGGCGTATATAAGACCGTACGTCATGCACCGATGTTACGTCTCGAACACGTCCCATACCAATAACTTATTCTCAATGATGCGTATCGTCTATCTTTGCCGGAGCACATCGAACCGATTTATGGTACTGACAATATCTGAATTTACTAGACGCTGGATGGGACGTGCGAACACTGGGAAACGCTCGTCAGAGTCGAGAAAGGGAAACAACGGGGGTCGAGAGAATGAGCGAAATGAACGAGCGTGAAAAAAGAAGGGGGATAGAAAGAATAGACTGAACGATGTGGAAACAACGGAGGGTAAAGAGGTAACGACGAAGGAGGAAAGGTATTTGAGAAAAAGTGTGCAAGAGTGAAATAAGGAGAAGGTTCCTTTTATCCCTCTTGGGAGACGAAGTGGAGAGGCAAAAAGGAGCAGGGAGAGAGAAGGCATAAATAACGAAAGGAAGGAATGGAGTAAGAAAGGAAAAAGGAATATCGAGGTCGAAGCAGAGAGTTCGAGGAATTTTTCGAACTTTGTACTAAATGATAATTGAACGCTTACGATACGTGGTATGTTATCCACTATTCTTTCTAAAATGCGGCTGACAAGAATGAAATGGATTTCAAACTAGATGTAATTTGAATTTTATCCTCATTCTATCCTGTCGCGTGAAATTTTTGAAAAAATTAAGGTTAATTTGAATAAATTAATTAACTATCGGAATTCCGAACAAATCATAAATCAAATATTGATTAATATATGTGTATTTTCAAATAGGATTTTTCTATGAAGAATTCATACAGTTCAAGTATAAGATCAAAAAGAACAAAATTCAGTTCCACCAATAAAAGTTTTTATCACGGATGACGTACATTCAAGTGGACACGAGTTCATTCATCTATCTAGAAACGAATAAAATTTTCGCTTTTATTTGCCGAAATACCTGAGCGCCACAAGGATTATACCCACATCTACACTGATAGATCTGAATCCCATAGGGGCGCTTATTGTCAGTGGTTACCCTTTTAACTAAACTTCCAAATGACGTTCCACGCATATTATCAATTTATAACTTCGTCAATTTATTTTTGAGAAAAACTGTAGAGAATGATATACCTTGTCTACGCTATATCTATATTTTTCAGATCCAAATTGCTTCGATAAACTAAATAAATATAGGAATTACTTGTTTGTTTGTTTCTCTTGATATTGGACAATTCCCTTTAAAAACGATTAAAGCGATCGCTTTTCATCGTGGATGGTCTGATTTGGCAATAATGTTAAAAACGCTTATTGAAGATTGTAACGAGATATTCCAGCAAGTTACACTCACACGTACAGACAAAGGAAATATCTCGACTTGTCCCACATTCGCAATTTTATATACCTCGATTTCGAATCATTGAGAATTAAATGACGTCAATGAATGAACGAAGCACTTTTTCTAATGAAACGCTTCTCCATTGTTTCCTTGAAAAATCGTGATATTTATTCACGACCTACTGATGCAACTCCGATCCTCTCGTATCGCCTCTCAATCAAATTAAACATTCTCAGTTCAGTTATTTGTGGAACGTGTTTGATCGAATACAAATAAACAGTCATTATGAGACGCGGTTTCGCACGGCGATTATCTCAAAATTCAATTCGGCTAAATGAATGAGCTGCGACATCTCGCCAAAATTCACTCGCACGTACCAAATTCAATACTTCGAATTTGTTCATTTAAAGTCCGAACCATAAGTATCTAAACGACGCGTCGATAATGTGAAGTGAAAATTCTCCTTCTCGTTACTAAATATTTTAATGGTAAAAATTCTTTGATGTAGAGTGTGTGTTATTTATTATAACTGGACTATAGGCGAATTCATATTCTTGAGGATACAATTGGAAAAAGTAGAATCTCGATAGAAAATCAAATACATGAACCAAAGAAATATTATAGAAAATACTATACTTGAGATATTATATATATATTGTATATATTATATTATATTATATTATATTATATTATATTATATTATATTATATTATACTATATTATATTATATTATATTATATTATATTATATTATATTATATATATTATATTATATATTATATTATTTTATATTATATTATATTATATATATTATACTATATTATATTATATATATATATATATTATGTGCATTCTACGCAATTTTGTATTTTAAAATTTTCTATATAATCAATTACGTATAAAAAACAGAATCCTAAAATTTAGATATAAGTGGAATTCAGATTTTTTCGTGTATTTAATTAAAAAAGCGAAATCTGGAATTGAGAGTTGTTTTATTTGTCAAGGGACAATGACAGAAACGTTTTATCAAGTTTTATCAAGAATTCAGCCATTTTATCCGGGACGAATTTAATAAAAAGAAAAGATGATCGTCGTACTTACTTTCAGTGAAGGAGTACACAGCTTTGAAGCCTCGGGATTGGCGGGACGATGTGATGCCATTAAATTCCAAAGAAAGCCGTGGTCCGTTACTCATGATAGGCCGCGCTGGCTTTTCACCGCAAAATGCATCTATCTTCTCCTTCTTTCTGTCTATGTGCACGTACGCCACTAACGAATCCACGCCATCGCATCTGAAGTTCAAAATAAATATTGCATCAGTAAAATAAACAATACCAGTGAAAAATGAATTAATTCCCGTTACTCGACTCGCACAAAAATTAATAAATTAATAAACTTTTTAGAGACATTTGTTGCGATACTAATAAAACTTAACGAACGTAAAACTACACGATAAAATTTCGAACCAACACATTTATTTATACACTCGAAGATTGACAAAGGATTAATGTTCTGTAATAACTACTGTAATTAGTTTTAGAGCGATCGTTCACATTATTTGCATTCGTTTCCATAAATTTTGAAGCTAACAGCTCGAGTAATTATTTTAATCAAGTGGCTGAATTATTATCCAATTTTCAAAGAAGAAATAATTAATAATAGTTCGCGTATCCTTTCGCTGGATCCACGGAAAATACGGAAGGTTCGTCGTTGATACGGCTACATTGAATTATTATTATTCTAGTACATGAACGTAACATGCAATACATCATCAGGGTAATAGTGTCAATATTCATTATCATCGATTAGCGTAATCGGATAAATTGTGTGCGAGACTAAGGGGCGATACGAGCGAGTATAGGCCACGCAAAATAGTTCTTGTTTTCGCAGCGCGGAGCAGCATATGTGTAAATTAGCGTCGTAAAATTGTGGCAAACAAACGTGGCGAATTTCATTTACATATATTGTTTCGCGAAATGTGCGAGTAATGTAATTTATGATATATTTCCTGTTTGCTTTAATTGTTACTGCGCAATGTATTTTGTATTCAGTTTAGTATTGTAATTGATTGCAAGAACTTGTTATTAAAATATCCTGTCCTATATTCAACGAATACATGACAGAAAATAATAATTTTTTAATGGACGTTAATGGCATTAGAAAGTCGTATTATACAATGTACGTTATACAGCGAAAAAAATTCTTTGTTTTGACATAAATTAAAGTTACGTTTTATAAGTTGTTTAAAGCCAACAGTAATAGATTAGTTGAAACATGATTCGTTGCTCCAAGCTGTTATTTTTGTTTTTTATTCTACGTAAAATTTGTTTAATAATAAGTTTGTTCTATTTTAAAGTAATTTTAACTATGTAATGTTATCAGATGCAAACTATTTCTAGAATGTACGCATTGTGCTTTCAACGAAATGTTACATAATTTTCTGCTAAATGTTCCTATTTGTCAAAACAATGTTCGCGATAACTGCGTCCTTAGACTAGAGATATAATTACATGTTCTTTAAATGAACACAATTTTTATTAAATAAATCGTACTAATAAATACTATCCTGACGTGCGATTCTATATTTTTAACTTGCACTTCGTTTCAAGAACATTTTTCTATTTACAGTTTTCGCAGGCTTAAAATACTATCCATGCTATTGCTTTAGTATTACATTTTCACAAACCGTTTTGCCCCTTTCAAAGAAAAATACTTTTCTGAATTTTTAAATATCTCCTTTTATAAATGAAGTCTCTCAATAAAACGTAAATTATATTACTAACATAATTGTTACTATCACTTTATTAGTTTCAATATTTAATGAATATTTCGATCCTTCGTATCATTATATTATGTTATTTAAACTTCAACACCGCGATAATTATTGTTACTGATCGACTATGATGTTACTCATCAGCCGATCAGTCGATAAAAGATAATCAATTAGCATAGCAATTGCATACTATCACCCTGTTATTTTTAACATTACGAATCCCATCTCACAGTCTACATAATTATCCTCCAACTAATTCCATCTTGGAGGAGCTGAAATTTTAATTAGATCTCGGGTTTTCATCAGCGTATTGTAAACTCGTGTACGCCGGATTCAAACAGATCTGATCAGTAATGGGTTTTAGGACTTGTGGCAACGGCTCCCCCAAAATTAGGAACATGTACAACCATCCTAAATTACGTGCTCGTACACTCCACGTAATACTAGTTTGCGGAAAGCATTTTGGGAATTAAGAAAACTCCCGCTTTGCTCCCGCTTTTGTCCTTCCCTCTGAGATGACTTTAACGAAGTCTTAGCGGAAACTGCGGAAGTTTTCTTTGTACGGAACGATTATCGTTGAAAACATGTGTGATTTTGCTGGGGGAGATTGCAGATCTCTAATTACAATGTGTTTGGAATTCACTGGCGTGCATGCATGTACGTATATACATACATACGTGTACGTAGGCATAGATTTCAAACACTATTTAGAGTATTAAACGGCATCGAATAGTTTGTACATGTGCGTATGGCTGTGTATTATGTCGATGGCCGTACTATGTAAACGATAAATCAAATTAATACCATTCCCCTAAATGTGTTAAGTACACCACTGTTCACAGGTATTAGAATAGATACGGACAATGAAATGAATCTAAACGATATGAGAAACTTGGAGGCGAAGAAAGAGATGGGAAACGAATCAAGAAATCCTTCTTACTTTCTATTTCGTATGAAGATTATAGGGAAAGAACGTGATAAGTTGCATTCTTTATTTCTCTTTTATACAGAGGTACTTTTACAAATTATAATTATAATAATTATAATACAGTTTATAATATAATTATATATTTGATGTTAAAATAAGCTTTGAATTCGTCAGCTTATCACCTATTTTCACAAATTTCGCATCTTTCAGTCCAACAAGATGTTTCCATTTTCAATTGCGTTCGATTAAAATTCTGTTGTTTATTCATAAAATCACGTGAAAATATATACAAAATAACGTAAATAAATATTCATAAAATCAATGAAAATATACGTATCACGTCTTTCTCCTGCAATCTCCATATTCGTTCAGGTTCTATTTTTTTCATTGTGCGAGTTTGCAAAAGTTTGGGAAAGAGTTTGCAAATTTAACTACTTATCCTTTCGTTGTATGTATTGAGGTATTAATATTCTACTACTGGATTTAATTTTCCAAATCAAACGAGGGGCGGACGTGGATTAATAAAGCTCGGTCTTTTCTACGTTTGCTTCCTTTTTTTTTTTTTTTTTTTTTTCTCTGAATAAACATGCCGCTTTCAAAGAGAAATACTCGCACCTTCGCGTGGAAACAAGCGTAAACCGGTGTAATATTTTAAAGTACTTGGGCTGAGCGCCGCATACAAATTGCTTTTCGATACGTTGCCGAAACAGGCCGGTGGCGTTGTTCGATCGATCTTTTTCATATGCATTGGCAATGCGCGCGTTTCGGCTCCACGCTTGCCTCGCATTCGCATAAATGGCAAGGTCTACCGTGAAACGTGGACATTGCTTTAGGGGTCGGCTCGCAACACACAAACACGATAAAACGATACAAATAAACGGGATATCGGTTTGTCTCTACCGGAGCACCGTTGCTCTTGTTCTCCGAAGTATTGTTAATTAAACAATGTCGAAACAATGAATTCTATTTAGTTAGTTACGTGATTGCTAATACACGACAGCTATTTACTTGAAAATTGTTTGCATACGCGTATGTGGGGTGGCGGAAAAGAAAGAAGCATGAATAATTAATATGAGCTTTTGCTGAAGCCAAAGCGATCAACTCCATTTTTTATCAATTTTACTTTCGACTGTTGGATTACTATTATTGTATGTTATATTACATTATTATATTACTGTTGTATATTTATTACTATACAATTATTGCAATTTTACTGTAATCATTATATAATTGTTTGAAAAGGACTAAATAAATATAATAAATATAAACTATATAAACTATAATATAAATATATAATATAATATAATATATATTATATTATATTATACATAATATAATATAATATTTATAATTATATAAACTATGTAATTGTTTGCTTCTGTCAATTTATTTATCATAAACGTAAATGATTATAAATTCCAAAGTAGAACTGTAATCACTATATAATTGTTTGAAAAAGACTAAATAAATATAATAAATATAAATTATATAAACTATAATATAAAGATATAATATAATATATCATATATATTATATATAATATAATATAATATAATATAATATAATATTTATAATTATATAAACTATCAATTTATTTATCATAAACGTAAATGATTATAAATTCCAAAGTAGAAGCTAAGAAATATTTCTAATCGCATTTTTCCATTTTTATTGACGAAAGTTAACCTTACATATGCATGACAATTAATAACTTTTATAGTTTATAGTTCTTTTTTTTTTCTATCAATGTTCACAACAATGTTCATTGTCCGCCCTTTCTTCTCGTTAAATTTTATTCTATGAAATTATCTCGCGTTTCTAACAAAATTGTATGTCTAATCTCGTTGTATGTTTCTCATAGGAAATTAAACAAATCGAACCTTTAGAATTCGGCGAAAGTCCCGTTTCGTAGAAAATCTCGTTCTCCTTCCGTTTTGTTGTGAAAGTCTTCACAAATCGAGAAACGCAACGATACAAAGAAAACATTCGAGTATTCTGTTGCGACATTGTTGCGAGGATTTGATACACGCGAAGGAATTTTAGAGCGGCGAGAGGAAAGACACACGCGGGAAGAAATAAAACGAACACTTTACTAAAAAGACCGCGGGCGGCGCGCTTGTCGCTAGATTATGGCGGCTAAATACAAATCCTCAATACGTGTATGCACATATATTCGAACATTTGTCAACACATTTTACGAATGTTTCGCGTGTGTTGTATTAAACATTGTAAGAAAAACTGAAAACACGTTCCACATGTTTATCATAGCAGCGATAATAGATTTAAACATAATTGGAATTGCATCAGCCGTTTGAGAATTTATTATCTGAATATTCCCTAATGCATTGAATTTTCACTCAACAATTCAGTACAGTTTATCATTTGTTTCTTAAATGTTGTTTTATAACTTGTTTATCTAGAGTGACCTCTCTCTGCTTATCTCACATACTGATGGAGATTAAATTAAATGGATGGGCATGACTAATGAATGAACATTCGTTCCGGGATTTGCAACCACTATATGTGCGTATAGTAACAAGATAATGTCCATCACAGGAATCGTAAGAGCTTAGGTCTCAGGTGCCTATGTA